GAAAGCATTGTTCCTCTTTTATTGGTAAACGCGAAACAGAATGAGAGAGCTGATCTCTAGAGATGAATTCTACATCAGATCACGAATACCAGCCTTCGACCTGCCATCGAAAGAGATTATTTGCTAGGGCTGCGGAGGCTGGGTGTATAAGAGGCTGGGTCTTTTTCCAGCCATATTTACCCATATCGAAGTCTGAAACAGATTTCAGTAAATATATTCTTTTAAAGTGTAGATCAACAGCAACCCCTGAAAAGGGGGAAAATGGGAGAGTTGCTGTTAATACAACTCATATCTTTTCTTTGTATTTTCTACACAAGATCTGACTGCCAGCTCACTATCCATGTCATCCATGAAACAACACGGGGGTTGTCAAATGCACTTTCCTTCCCTTACTCTACGAGTCTGTGATAAAACAGAGAATGACTTGCATCCTATGAAAATATTGTGAGTCATTCAGAGCATTGCTCAGTAATAACCACTCCATAAGGACATGTCTCTCTTTGTTTGGAATTTCAGGACACTCGATCCTTTTCTAAATGTACCTTTTCTTCCACCACAATCTTTCACTCCTCTGAAAGGCCATCTCTCGATACCGCTCCCCAAATAATATAAAATACCTTAAGAATGAAAATGCCTTAAGTAACAAACATTACACAAATAAGCAATAACCCAGATTGGGACAGGGTAAATATTATGTCTGGGAACACGTCCACAGCAAGAACGTAATGAAGGAATTTCATTTTATAAAAGCATGGGGAAGGGTACAAATATTTTGAAAGTAGGCAAGATTAAAGTTGCCAGGGAGGTCAACATAAACACAAATTCCACCAAGAAATTAAACCCAGTCCTAAGAGATGGGAGAACACGCGGCCTCACTCGGCTGCTTGTGGAATTTGCACTGCAGGTCTGCAGCCAGGGGGCCAGGCAGTCACTAGAGAAGAGGATGCCCCTTGGATGACAAAACAGGCCCTTTTCCCTTGCAAGGGACTATATGCGCACCCACCTGATGGCCTTCCGAAGGTCTGGACCAGCAGTTTGAATGGGACCTACTTTCTTAATTACACAAACCAGGTCCTGGCTATCATAAAAGCAGGTGTAACCAAAACAGCATAGGGCACAAGAATGTCTTCCTCACTTGTTCATTTATTTACTCATTTT